GCGCCCGACCGCGCGCGCGCCCCTGGGCGGCTGAGGGAGGGAGGGAGGGAGGGAGGGAGGGCATGTGTGGTATGGCTGGAGGTGAATTTGGTATGATGTATGTGGTGGTGAGATGTGTGTGTGCCCTGTATCCATGTTTGGTGCGTTTGTGACAGCCTTCTGCATGCTCAGCTTGGGAAGGAGAGTTTCAGAAACAGTAGTCAGATTCTCCAAGACCTGACACAGAGTAACTCTTAACGTGGTTCAGCTGTGTTTTCTGCAGCTTCGTCAATGGAACTGGACTTCAAGTTGGGCTAGGTGGACCTAATGTTCAGCCTTCTCTTACAATGTTGGAGCCAATGACTGACTACATCAGGGGAGATATGGGCCTAGAATCAGTGTCCCTACCACCTCTTTGAGGACAAATGTTGGGTGGCAGTTAGACAGAGGGACTCTGTGGGGACAAAATGGAATCAGTTCAGGGCTGCTAGGATTGAGTTTGAACCTTTCCTAGTTAGGATATGGGGTTAAAACTCCCTAACCATGTCTTGAAAAACCAAAAACAAACAAAAACAAAAAACAAACAAATAAGCAAACAACAAAACAACCCTAGCCATGTCCTTCAAGTTATCGTAGGCCGATGAACCCTAGCAGGCATAGTCCACTGGCTAGAGGCTCAGGCTTAACTCCCCTCTCCCTCTTCATATCTGGTATTTTAGCAGAAACAAAGAAAATCTGTTCTCATTTAAAGAAAAGGCTGTTTATTTTCTAACCTATAGCTAGATCTATCCAGTTGGATGATGTAGGTCTTACGAGACACCTGAAAGACCATGTCTACCTGTGTCCAAATCCACCTGTGCTCATATGTGTATGCTGGCTGCTACAGTGTGGGTGGTGACAAGGAGCCCATCCATCCTGTGTGACTGGTACAACCAGTCTCATTCCACTGACATATCTCAGGGGCTGCTTACCCAACTGGCTTGTAACAAACTGCAAATTAACCACCATCCCTCATCTGGAATGTGTCATATTTCTATATGTGTCTACAAAGAGATTGTTGACATGTAGACATGGAGAATGTCAATATTTGCTTCTAGAAGCAAACTATGGAGAAATAATGACCCTGGCTTATGGGACAATGCAGATGGTTAAAACATGCTTGCAACCATAGCAGAAACACCTCGTAAGTCCACGAAGAGATCAGGCCCCTCTAGTTTCTGCTTCCAGTGGAAGACCCATTGGCTCTGGGTTAGTCAGTTTGCTGGCAAAGCAGCAAACATCTTTCCCCATTGTGATATTCCTTGCTTCCCACCAGCTCCTGTTTCTTTCCCCACACCCATCTTTGACCTGGGGATCCTGTGAGGGGTGCCTACTCTCACTTCAGTGGGTTTTATGGGTCTAATTCTCTCTCACATTCGGCTGTGACTATTTGTTGGGTTTAATCTCTCTCTCTCTCTCTCTCTCTCTCTCTCTCTCTCTCTCATGTGTGCGTGTGTTTGTGTGTGTGTGTGTGTGTGTGTGTGTGTATACACATGTCCATGTATGTTTCAAGTGCATGCACCCATGTACAGGCAGCAAAGGCTAGAGGAGGACATAAGGTATCCTACTCCACTTTCAGCCTTACTCCCTTGAGACAGGATTTCTCTTTTTTTTTTTTTTCAAAATTTTTTTTGCTTCTATTCTCTCATATATTACATCCTGTCAGCAGTTTCCCCTCCCTCCACTCTTCCCAGTCCCACAAGTTCTGTGACACCATTACCCCAGCACATCTTGTAGGCAGGACAGGCTGTAGGTCAAAGGTTTTGTGGCTGGGTAGATTTCTCAGTCTCACTGCTGCAATCCTTGCCTGGCTATGGAAGATGGCCAGTCCAGGCTCTGTACTCCCCATTAGGTCACTCTTATAGATTACAGAGAGTTTCCACTGCAGTACATCGCCCCTTAAATGCGCCCCCCAATTCCAGTTGTCTCTTCCACTACTCTCTTCCTCCTTCCCTCCCATCCCAGCTTGATCTCTCCTGTTCTGGTCCTTACCTGCTCCTAGTCTCTCTACAAACTATATACTTCCCTTCCCAGGGAGAAGGATGTGTTTGTCATCTCCGCTCCAGGCCCTCGAGCCCTCCTTGTTATCAGCCTGCCTGGGTCTGTGGGTTGTAACAGGATTATCTTTTACTTAACAGCCAAGTGCTGTCGGCGCACACCTTTAATCCCAGCACCTGAGAGGCAGAGACAGGTGCATCTGAGTCCAGGGCCAGCATGGTCTAGAGAGACAGAATCTCTTTACTCATCCTGGAGCTAGGCTGACAACCAGCAAGTCCCAGCACTCTTCTATCTCTGCCCACTCCCCACCAACACTGGTATGGCAGGCATGCAGCTACATCTGGCTTTTTACATGGATTCAAAGAGGTTTAAACTCAGGTCCTACACAGCAAGTGCTCTTATGTACTGATCCATCTCCCTAGTCCAGGTTTAACCGCTCTCCAGTGCAAACCTTTGTGACTCTGAGTTCCTGTGAGTAGGTAGGATAGTGATCTATGCATGGAGGAGGAGCCTAGGTGTGGAATTAGTGGGTGATGAAACATCTCCTAGCTGCTTAGCCTGTGCCTCAAACATTTTACATCAATGCACAGAAGCCTTCGAAAGGCATCACTCTAAACTTGGACAAGATCCTCCTGCATTAGTGGGCTGGATATCATGGCAGAGTGGAGAAAAGCACAGAACCCATGTTCTGAATTCCCCTCCAGCCCCAGAGCCTGAAGCAAAAGACCCCACTCACTGTTCCTATTTTCATCTTAGACATTTCTGAGGTACTTGTCCTCCAGTCAAGTGTTGCATATTGGATGTTCTATGCTGGCTCACCCTGTTTTAGGGCAATTCTCTCATCTGTACATCAAGATTGGATATATTTTACCATCTTACCAACCAAGCCCAAAAGATATAAGAATGCTATATTTTCAGACATTTAAGAATGCTATATTAATAAACATATCTAGTGTTATAAGTTTTGTGTCTTACACAGTTGTTCTCATTCATGTGAGAAATTATTCATTACTGTTGAACAGATACTTTGGGGGCGGGGTTCTTAGACAGTCTTGTATAACCCATGCTGGTCTTTAACTAGGCATATGGTCAAAGATAATTTTAAACTCCTGATTCTCTCGCTTCTATGTCCCAAGTGCTGGGGTTTTAGATGTATTCCACTGTGCCCAACTTTATGTGATATTAGGCATGGAACCTTAGTCTTAAACATTTTAGGAAAGCACTCTACCGACTGTGCTACATCTCCAGCTCACTGAAAGGTTTATAAACATACTTCCAAAGAATTGAGACTTTTGTTAAATTTCCAATATAATTATCTTAAATATCTGAACAAAGGGGAAAGGGTGTTCCAGAAACTCTCCAGTTTGTCTTTTCTCTTGGAAATGGCTGCTGTGCCCAGTACCATCGCAGATAGCAGTTTGTGGAGGTGGGCGGGGGGACTATGATGGTTACCTCCCAGGCCAGTTAAACCAGTAGGATCCATACTTGGCTGCCTTTCAGCTAACTTTGTGGTATAAGACTCAGGGCTATGTTGGAAGAGTGGGAGAGTGAGCAGAGTGTGGGGAGACATTTGACGCAGTATCCTGGCTCTATCCATTTCAGATCAATTTCCTGTCATGCCTGTAGAGCCCAAGCAAGGAGCCGATGAACCAGGAAAGGTACACACACACGCACACACACGCACACACATTTATTCACCCTCCTATCAGAACTAGCCTCAAGAAAAATCTCCCTTCCTTTCATCATGTCACTTTCTGGGCTTGTAGCTGGGTCCTTTTTCCTGTGGTTTTG